CCGCCCCCCCCCCCCTTTTTTAATAAAAAAAAAAAAAAAAAAAAAATCAGCCTGCTTCAGCACTGTGCTACTAGAGACTCTGCTCTTCTTCCCTCTTCCTTTGATGCCCGGACAGCACGGGAGAAACTGTAACATGAAAGCTCCTGCCTCTTCAAATGGAAACCTGTTTTGGAGGGGCTAGAGAAAGAAGATCATCTCTCGAGCAACAGCATTCTCACATGTTACAGTACATTTGGGTCTTGATCTTATAGACAGTACAAGGTTATATCATGTCAAGTCCTGTTACAAGTCAGGAGCCAGCTGGTAACCATCTGAGGCTCCATCACATCATCATGTTAACACCTTGCAGTGCAGGTGGGTCCAGGATGTGGCAAGTGTCTAAGAGCGTATCTGCACTGCTAAAGATAAATGCTGAGGGGTTTGTTTCCTCCTCTCCCCCTAGTCAGATTAGTTGGGTTGCTAGAAAACAAAGTAACCTGGCTTTAATTCTGGTCAACACTTTGAGTTTACTTTCAAGGCATGCTGGGGCTGGAATCAGCTTGCCTATCAGAATGAAAGCCTGGGTTACTTTGACTGCAGTGCTAAAATAACACGATCTGGCTAACATTAGCTGTGCAGAATTACTCCCACCCTTTTCACCAAGTAATAATAATCCCCTGCTCTCAAAACTATGGCCAGGGCTAAACAGACTGATTAAGAAGTCAGCATAGTTTTTAGTGGACAGGCTTATATCACCAAAGCATGCAATTCATTCCAACAGCCTATGGGAAACTTCTGGAGTCCAGCCTTTTCCCAATTTGTGGGCTGGAGACAGCACATCTATTTTGCATAAGGGGAGTGAGTGATTGGTAAAGCCAAATCTCAATGGAGGATTTAAAAAAGAAAAACCAAACAACTCTTGCCCTTAAAACCTAACATTGGATGTGGACTATCTGACATTATGGAAGTCCCTGGATGTTCCCCAAGAAACTAAGCAAGAAGGCATTTCATAGCAGGTCTCCCTTGGGACACATTTTGCAACATCAGCTTTTAAGTTTCTGATGCATTGCAAACACATAATTTCCTCACCACCAATAAATACTCAAAACTATGTTAGAAAACAACCAGGATCTCCAGCCCAGGTCCCCAGGCAAGCCACCACGTCAGGGTTGACCTGTGCTAAGAAGACAAAGCACGTGAAACTCTGCTATGCTTTTTTTTACCAGGAGAGCTCTGTCTGCTTAGGGGCAGGAGAAGAGCATGCCTGTTCAGGGAGGCATGTTTGTCTGGGAATGGCATTACACACCATCTTGAACTCCACTGACCCACACCCAGCCAGCCGCTTACCTCTGGGTGCGGACACGGTCTCTGTCAAAGGAGCAGATGCAGAGGGAGGAGGCACAGAGTTCACAGTTGCAGCATCTGGAGGGAATACCCTGTCCTGCTTCTTACATTTAAATTTCTTCAGGTAAGGGATTTCCCGAAACTCCTGTGGGATGAAAACATAAGTAGAGTTTAAAAACAACACAAATACTATTATAAGATTTAAAGGCTAAATTGAGCACTGGCCAGATATTGGCATTTACTGCAGGTCTTGGAAAGCACTTCCTTTCCTGACTTCCTAACGTACGTAAATACCCACTTTACTGACCAGGAAAACAAAGCTAGAAGCGGGTAGATGAGGGGTTTCAAACCAAATCAGCAACATCTCTTTCAATTTAGCGTTACTGGAAAAAATATGATTTAATTATACATTAGCTGCCTCACCCTGGAGGGATGTAGCTGTGACAGGACTTCCCCACTGTCACAGCTGCTCAGCACTGCAGTGCACACTGCTCTCTGGCATCCAACACTGACTGCTGCTTATTCAGTCTCCTTACAAGAGGTAACATCCGTTAAGGAATGTGCTTCAGAACATCAAATTTGCAGTAAACACCCACCTTTGGGATCACCCAGTCTTTCCTGTTGGGAGTCTGCGTTTTAGCTACACACTTAGTCCAGGCAGTGATATCCCCTGAACAGTAATATGCGTCGCTCTTGAACACAAACTGCCCCTTACACTCCTCGCAGGGAAGCAGAGCTCCAAATGCCATCCCATCTGCTACTCGGTCCAAAATCTAAAGCAACAAAGAATACAAAACAGGTCATGGCAGAAGGAGGCTGGAAGCCCACGCACTACATTACACTGGGCTGCACAAAGAAAATAACTGTCAGGCTGCTGGCACACAAACGAGATGTTTCCAGCGCTTGTCATGCACACACTGTACATAAACCAAGACTCTTACCAGCACTGATTGATTTACGACGCCTTAAAGACATGACACGAAGTTTCCCCGGTCACACCGTATCTGCTCACACCCATGGCTCGCAGTCTCTCCTATTCAGATTCGGCATTCAGGAGAGCATACCTACCGCACAGCACCTGACCAGGCAGCCGTGCCGCAACAGCCAAGGAGGAGACGAGCTACTGCATCTGAGCACATGAGTAGGTAGGTGGGAATGTAGGCTCAGACAAGTCCCCGTTTTCCTGCCTAAAGAGTACTTCTTGACCATTTTGAGTCTAGACACTTCCCACATCCCAGCCCACACTCCTTACAAAGAGTTTTAATAAATACAAATACTTAAAAGTGATGTGTGGCTCCAAAAAAGAGAAGACTTTCACAAGTCACACAGACTGAAAAGTGACTTTTCAGAAAAGATACCAGCAAAGAATTTGTACAGTTTTTGCTTCTTTTTGCATAATTTAACAGTTGAGGGAGGCAACGTGAAGTGCCATAACTAAACTACTTTTGAAGAGCCAGCAACAAAAAAAAAAACCACGGACCAGTTTGGGCATAGCAGAGTAAAAGCACATCACTTAGACGAAGGCACTGAATTCAGCACCACCACATGGCCCTTCACAAGCAAGCGTAACAGCAATATCATCAGAGTCCCAGGACAAAAGGACCGGGGTTTGCACTGAATTTCTTTCTGAAGTGTTATGTTAGGAACGTGCTTCAGACTTGTGGACCTTGCAGCAATATTGGTTTGGGTCAGCTTCTCCAATTCAAAGACCTGGCACATGAGCAAAGCAACTACAGACCAACTCACAGCATTCTCCCCTGAAGGCACGTCCTGCTTGTTGGCGATCAGCAGCTCTTTCAGGTCATTAGTGGAGCAGACCTTCCTCAGCTCATCCTTGATGCCCCAGATCAGCTCTGTCTGCTCCTGTTGACAAAACCCAGCAGCTTAGCTACTTGCAGCCAATTGCTTTCCAAGAACACTCCTGAAACTGCAGTATGTGGACAAGGTTTTAGTGAGCCCATGCTATCTCAAACACAGACCAGAAGAAACAGTAGCTTTAACAAAAGGGAGGGTCAACACATTTTACCTAAACACTGAGAACAGGTCTTTAAAGCCACATGCTTCAGATTTCAGTACGAATACATGAGCACACCACAGCTTTGGCAAATACTCTCCCTTCTCAAGATTATATGTGGAAGGACATCCCTACGGGATTCTATATAAACCAAGGCCTCTCAGTCATGAACATGTGAAGAAAGGCCACAGAGTAATTTTTACAGCACTAACCCATACAAAGAGATACAAGCGACATTAACAAGACAGCCAGCTTTTAGATAGAGTGGACCCCATGTTTTTAATCACACTTATAACTTGAGCGAGTTCTCAGACTTTGCAAAAATCACCTAACTAGTTCACACCGCCAACAGCAGGGACGTGGCTGCCTTTGAGCCTCCCCGTTTTAAAACAAAAATCAGAAACGCTGATCGGCGCTGTTCTTCTTTTAAGCCACACAAGCATATGAGGAATTTCTACCAGATCAGTCACCTGCAGTGGTGCAGAGGAGCCTGCATTCTTTTGAGCCTTTCTACAAAAGGTGAAAGAGTTGGACAACAAAGAGGCATCCTAAAAATATCTCAGATAGTTTCTGAATGTTATTCACTGGCTACACTCAAAAATGCAATCTACCCTGGGAGAACTGGTTTACTGTGTTAAATGGTTTAATTTTCAGTGTCAATGGTCATGCCTGATGAAATGCTGTTAAAAAAAATTAGCGAACCCGAAGTTAATCCTGATCCACAAATTGCCTTGACCTGTCCTACACATCTGCACTGCAGCGGCAAAACCTTGATAATGTCTCAGCTAAATTTTATTGAAAATCAAGGTATTAACAACGAAGAAGAAACCTTCTGTTCAGAGGTGGACACACCATTCTTCTACAACTTCATTAAGACTTCAGTTGCAGCAAAAGTCTCTTGTTAATTTTTTCTTGGAAAGTACCTATGTCAAACTTTCAATGAATACAAAACTCCTGATGCTCTGTTGGGAATTCTTCCCATGTATTCTAGAAACTGAAAGGTAGAAAGCTGTGATCTATCCCACTTTGTACCCAAGAACCGAACACAGCTCCCCAGAGGGTGAAAAAGATAAAACTTCTCATTAATCTAGTTCCACACTTTACCTCTCTAATTTTTGCAATGAGCTATTTATTTGTTTCCAAGCTCTTCTGCAACAGTGCTCGGGCTCAGAGCTTCAGCCACCACAGCCAGCTGATGCAGGAAGGATACAGAACCAGCCTCTCAGAGAGAGAAGGCATTTAACCTAATCTGTTTAAATCCGATAAGCACAAGTCCTAGAGAAGTTCCTTCCTGTCTTTCAAGAGAAAGCTGCAGGGTGAATGCCATCAGCAAAGCCTTAGCGACAGGGCACCTCCTGCACCAGGACACGGGGACCGGCTGTGCTGCAGCTCTGCTTCGTCTGGGCACCAGGAACAGTCCCTCTCTAGGTGCTACAGCTCCTCAGTTAGCGCCTGTCACTGCACTCTTCTAACGAAGCAATTTTCGGTATGTGATCAGCTAAAACTTACCTTCAGCTGTTTTTCCTGCTTTGATTCTTTCTCTTTTTCTTTTTTCTGTTTCTTTTTTGCAGTCACATTTCCATCTACCTCTTCTCCTTTTCTCTTTCTAGTAGAGAAAAACAAAACAGAACACACACAAAAAAAAGTAAGTTATTCAAATGCCTGTCCAGAGCTCAGTTTACTGACTGCTGATATCTGCAGAGGCTTGAATATCCTCAGTTTTGGCAGGCAAACCCATTTTTCAAATTCCTCAGTGCTAGATTGTAGACATGTACTTGGCTCCACAACACAAGCCGCCTCAATCAGGTCAGCTACACTTAAAGCTTTTCCACAGGCTAACCATGTAGTCCGGCAGAATACCACATGAAATACCGCAACATTTTTAGGCATGTTCATCTACACCTGTATTAGTTACACCAAAGGCATACTCTGAAGAATCACTGAACGTAAGCACACCTCTCCAAATCTGAGGAGGTGTAGCAATGCAGGTTAAAAGACTGCAGTGTCTTTGGGCTGAACCAGCAGCTTGATTTTTTCACTTTAGACAGTCCATATTGAAATCAAGGACAGCAAACACAATAATTTTAACAAGCTAACGTACTGGGAAACTAGTTATCTGCCAGCTAGTTTCTCTTCAGACTGGAATTGAGTCAGGTCAAAATCAGACAGAGGAAGTTTCTACTTGCAAAGTGCTCCCAGGCCGACAGCAGTTTCGTGATGTACTACTGTGCAGTTGTGTTTGAGGAAAGTTATTGTTATTAGCTGGGGTCTTAGAGCTGTGCAGGGAGAAGTAACAGAAAACACTGATCGAGAAAGACTGGAAAGAGGAAGCCAAATGAAAACCAGGGGACTTTGGCAGACTTCAGAATGACAAGAGACCTTAGAGGAAGATAATTTATGTCATGTCATCCCCTTGGTCTGCCTGGCTTCAAAATACATCAGTATCAATAAATCAAATCAGTGTGTGCTCTCCTTGTGAGGAAATAACGGGAAACTCCGGCCCACTTGAGGAAGGATGGGTCTGGAACTTGAGACAGAGAACATGCACAGCTTGGATCTCGCACTTCATTTTGACAGAGCTGCTATTGTTTCGAAACAGCAGCCACGTTTCTTTCTAAGCAAGCATCTGTCTTAACTTTATAAGCTGTGGCTGATGGTTAAGCCGTAGAGTTGACATGCTCGATTGCTCTCCTACTCACAATTTTAAACACTTCACTTTCTAGTACTTTGCTACTGTTAAGACTAACCCTGTATGACAGCTTACTAACTATAAAGCTGCAGGAAGATGTTAAAAACTGCTCTTCTCGAGAAGACTCGCGCATGAGACACCTGTAAGTTCTAGAAACTCTCCTGGCCCTAAACCGGGGCCAAGTTCTCATTTTATTTGCAGTGGCCACCACTAGCCCATCATTAGCACCTCTGACCAAACCAGATTCAGAGCACTTTGTAAGTCTTTAAGGGGCTGGTTTTGCAGAAGAGTTCATCTTTCAGCTGTCCCCCTGCAAGGTCCCATCAGTCCGAGCTGGGGCTATGCTTTAAGGTGCACTCCCTCAGGGGGGACAACAGCTGCACTGTGCCACCAGCATTTGCTTGCCTTTCTTGAGAAAAGCTGCATCTTGTTTTCTAAATCAGGCAAGCAGGAACTAGCGTGGCAGGACTGGATACAGCACACACAGAGCCATGCCTTCAAAAACTCCCAGGCCAAGCAGGTCCCCTCTCCTCCCTGGCTGCAGCCCCTGCAAAGGGGCAAGACCAGAGCATCCCCTGAGCCCCGCCACGAGGATCATGACTTCTGCAAGTTTTGACAGAGTCCCAGGTACACAACATAATCTGGGAAAAACATATCCGCTTGAGCGCAAAGCGCTCTGCTGCACCTTCCCAAGCCAGAGGGCTTAATAATGTAAGTATTTAGGATGGGTGCCCAAACGCTGCGTATCTGCGGTGCCTCTCCCTCGGCAGGCTGACAGTCACATGCTGCCTCCAGCAAGCCAGCACTCGCTTCTATGCCGTGACTTGTCTCCCAGTCTCCAAAAGGAGGAAAGCCAGCACACCAACCACTGGAAGGTGATCACCCTACCGAGAGGCCCTGGGACCCAGGGAAAGCATCCAAATTCCAGCAGGGACTCACACTTTTGGCAGCTTCTCCTCAGAGTCAAGGGGACAGCAGGCTGCTCTCCTGGACAGAGTGATTGCTGTACCTGTTCCAGCCACTTGAACAAACTGCAGAGCAGGAGGGATCATCCCAATTGCAGAGAGGCATACAGCTGTCAGTCACCACCTTCTCTTTTGTCCCTGGCTACGCTCAAAGCTTAAAACAAACGCTAGTCATCATTTTATACAGCCTGGAGAAGGGAATGGCAAAGCCTAAATCATCTCACATCTTTCCAAACCAGCAAATTTTAGAACAATCGACAAAATACACGCTCACACACACACATCAACTTTTATCTGCCATCCTTGGGACCAAAAACTGCGTGCAGTTAACTACAGCTGGGTGCTACTGTGTACCCCCTTCCTCCTGCTGGGGAAGGGACAGTCTTCCCACACTGAACAGGTATGGCCCAACAGCTTGCTTTGAAGGACTGGTGCTTACCAGCCAACACAAATCACTTCTCACCTTTGTGGAAGATACACGACTACAAGATTTATTCCAACTTTTGAGAAGATGAAGGTGAACTGTCCCATTCTAGCCTGGCCCTTCCTTACAGTCTACTCTATTTTTCAAGTCTTCCCTATAATGAAAGTGAAGGGTGGAAAGGACAGTCACAGCAACCCTGGATAAAGCAAGCAGCCGGCTCAGGGAGGAACTTTTCTCCTCCTCCCTGTAAAGCACTGCCAGACTGTTGCTGACCTGAGTACTTACCCTCTGCCTCAGGCAACCTCTGTAGTTAATCTGGTGTTGCATGACATCTCCAGAGTAACACTTTGATCCTGTCCTAGGCAGCAATGCTACACAAACAAGTGAGGCAGAAAATACAGGAAAGCATTACAGCTCGGAGCAGGAGGGCAAAACACATGCTACCAGAGAAGCGCAGTCAAAGGGAGCTCACAAGCTGCTACCGCATTTCCTACATCAGTACACGAGCACTCTTCCCACAGAGAAGCTGCTGGCAAGGACACAAGATCCTCCTTCCGAGGCCTGCAAAGTGCTGGTGCTCGGGCACGACAGCCGGTAGCCCAGTGGAGGCTCCGGATTTGTCACCCTGAGCCTGCCCAAAG